GACCGTCAACCAATCTACAAAGAGAAATAGGCTCATACATGCAGGGCTATGCCCTCTTCTACCTGTCCTAAAGCTACTATGCTGCTTTGGCCGCTCGCTTCCCTGCTTTCTTCGTAGAGGCTTGACCCTTGGAAACTCTACTCGACGACGCCTGAGGGACCGGCGATGGAGTATCTCGCTTCTGCTTCTTGGCTTGTCGACCAGCCGTCTCTTTCTCCGGCTGAGGTCGCGGTGAGTCCTCTTCCGTAGGCCTCTTCTCCCTCATGTGTACAGGAACTTTCAGTCTGAGGGATAGCTTCTCGTCTTCTGTAGAGGTTTCCACCCGTGCACCAGCTGAGCCAAGCCGATGAAGTGTTGACGCCGATGGGGACGGAGCTCTGGGGGTGGAAGCAATGCCTGTAGCTACCACAGCGAACTGGGCTGCTCGGCGAACGACGTTGGTAGATCGTTTCTGACGGAGATTATTTGACAACGCGCTGATCCGCCAAGTTTCTTGTTCAGGTTGGCGATGGTACGAGGCCGTGTCCCTCGCTTAGGTACCGTAGGTGCTGGTGCTGACGATGGTGCCGGTGCTGGCGAAGGCGCACCTTCGCTCGGTGAAGTTACTACCGTAGTCCCGGACGCGTCAGAAATCGAGGGGGCGCCATCCAAGGTGATCGTCCCTGAGCCGAAGTCAGATTCAGAAACGCTGGCGTTGTCCTCCAGCATTTTCTGGGTGTCGTCGCTGCATGCCGACTCCAACGCTGCTCGAGGCGTGGCAGAGCCGGAGGAGTCGAAGTCATCGTTGCTCGCGGGGGACGGCGCGGAGGAGACCTTGGTCGGCGTTCCGGGGGAGGAAGCAAGAACCTCGGCGTGCCTTGGACTCATTAGTCCGTCTTCATCGACCTCTTCCTCGTCGACCGGTTTGTCGACGACCAGCTCCTCATGCTCATCGACATCCCGCAACCCTCCCAGCTCAGTCTCGCCCTTTGTGTTCATGTGCTCATCGTCCTCCATCCCTTCGTCGCCCAAAACCCACTCTCCGGAGCAAAGTAATCTTCGTCGACGTCAGCTGCGTCGTGATATGGGCAGTCTATTTTATGCTGCGAAGAGGATCAAGAGACTCGTCAACACTTCGAAGAACAGGAATAGCAAGTCATAAACCTACCTCGTAAACTGGTACGACGAGCACATTCGGGCGCATCTTAACAGGGTGTCGGCCACGAAATACTTCAGGAGGGCAGCGGTCACGAGTCCTAAGAGGAATACTCCAGCGATCGCACTCCTCGTCGTTCTCGGAAGAGGAATCGGGATCCTCGTTATCGGCGGCGGTAACCTGCATGGACGCGTCGAATTCGAATCCCGCGTCTCTCTTGTCTTGCGGGTGACCTAGGGCAGCTCGGTTGGGAGAAGACTCGTCACTTTCTAAGGAGGGTCTCGAATCGTCGCTCTGGGGGGTGACATGGGTCGGCGCGGGCGCGTCGGCATCGGTGTTCATCTCGTATCGCGCAAAGCGAGGTGGAGTCATCTGGTCGGCGGTGGATGGAGAAGCAAGTATGTTCAACGCCATGGTACCCTTTGGATGGTGGAAGAAGGGGTGGAGAGCTGGTTAGGTGGTCGGTGAGGATAACCTGTGGTTGGTGCTCAGGTATCACGAGAATCGGGCACGAGGGTAAGATCAAAACCAAGATTAAGAGAACGCACAGGTTAACGACAGCTCTTATAGGTCAGCAATGGCAAGAAACGGCCAGAACGCTGAGTGGCAACGATTCCGAGCCCACGGTTGGTTGTAGAAGCGTCCGCGTCAATGGTCGACGTGACTGCGATTGCTGAATGCATGTCTTCGCTCGGCATGTTAAAGCAATACCGGTGGCCCATTGTGGGTAACTAGGTTTACGGCGTTGCTTTCGGAAGGTCTCTCTCTGCTTACAATCACTTATCTCAGAGCCAATAAGCATCTTGATCAGCCCGATAAACAGCGACCAGGTCCAGTCATCCTCTGTTATGCAAGACTAGCCTGCCCTATTCACCTATCGGACCTATCAACCCGCCGCCCACACGCTCAGACCGTCGGAAGCTGGCTGGAAAGCTCACTGAATTAAAGAAACACTCACAACTGACGTCGCCTTGGGTTGGAAATTAAAGGCCATGTTAGCCCAAGGCCCAGGCGCAATTCGGGATATCGAACTTCACCAGCAAGAGAACGGCGACACTCTGATTTTCTGTCTTATACTTGTCACTGCCGTCGTCACAAACGAGTGTTTTCCACCGTTGCTTGCTTTCTCTACCTGGGAAACCCCATGGCAGACGTCGTATTTCATCCTCTCAAAATACCTTGCTCTTGCAGCAACGTAAACTTATATTATGTTCTTCAGTACCTCCGCACCTTTCTACGTAGCGCTAATAAACGTTAATAAACCCTCGTGCCTCCTTCTCCTTGGTTCTCTGGATTCGCTGTAATCACTCAGAGGGAGTTCGCCCACACGTTATCAGATAGTAAGACGCGCTCTTTAAGTCTTACAAGTTATAGCATGTAGAGCTTGCTTCCAACTTTCATCACCTCCGTTCCTCTTCCTATCTGCAAAAGGCGCCATGCTCGAGTTTCATCGCATCTCCCGAATCTACATCTATGAGCGCATTCACCACCATAATCGAAGGAACCCATGGACTCTCTTAGCCAGATTGAGAGCATTCAATCAAACGGTCCCCTTACGTGGGCTGCCATGAAGGCTCCGAGCAACAACTTATCCAGAATGCAGGGAACGTACTGCGCTTGTATCCTTCTCCCTGCCTCCTCCCAACAATTTAATCTGAATCGGGACCAGACCCCGCGTTTCAGGAACTCGGCAGAGGGGCAGCTGCATCCGAACGCGGTACGTGCACCGCCGGCGCAATGTTCATTTGGTCAGAACACCAGAGATCCAAATAACGGCGCCGCACGCCCTCTTTGGCTTCCACCTCCATCTACCACCAGCCGCCTGAGCATCCCTTAGCAGCGCAAATTTGAACCAAGAGTACCATGTACTCAGCAACCGCGGTCGCTCCGGTTCTCACCCACTCACCCAGGCCCCCTCCACGGAACATCACATTGCAGGTCCCACTTCAGCCAACAGAGATACCCCGTCCAGCAGGCTCGCCGTTCACCTCTGCCCACATCTTCCTTTCTGCCCAATTCTTACCTCAAGTCATCCTCGCTCTCCTCATCACTCTTCGCGCGCCACGCTTTCTACGCGTCTCCTTCGTTGTGCTCCACATCATCTACACCACGCAGTTCGTATGGCGCCTGAGAAATTCGCGGGAAACGGGATACACGACCGGCCAGGTGATGGGGGATTACCACCTTGCGTCGGCTGCGACTACGCAGGTGTTGGGGAGCATCGTCACGCTGATGATGTCGCTAGGAACCGATACCTCTGGTCGATCAAGAACACAAGTGTTGGACGTAGTCAAGCACGAAGACGACGTAGGGCAACTGGAGTCAGGAAAGCGCCCATTCTTGCAGCGGTTCTACTGGGCATGGAGTATCGTCTTCAGCAGCAGGAACATAGGAACGAATGTCCAGGTCAAAAACGTGCCTCACACACCTGCTCCCCGCTCCCGTCTTCGCTTCATCTTCGCCTCCCTCCTACGCACAGCAAAGTACTATCTGATAATCGATGTGTGCATGTGGTATCTTCACAACCCACTGATATGCATGAGGGGTCGCGGCGGCACGCGCATATTGACAGCGAACCAGCCGTTGCAGATGAGGTGTGTTTCGGTGTTGATTCTAGGGAGCACTGGGTACGCGTTGCTGCAGATGCAGTATAACCTGATTGCGGCGGTCGTCGTTGGTCTGCGTCTGAGTAAGCCAAAGAGCTGGCCGAAGCCGTTTGGGAACTGGAGGGAGGCGTATACTATTAGACGTTTCTGGGGGTGAGGATCCTGACTTCAAGGCTACCTGGTTCATGCGCTGACTATCTCCCTTTAGAACGACATGGCACCAGATCCTTCGAAAGGTACCCTATCCCCTCTTGGTGTTCCCAACTCATGTATCGCGCATACTCACACCGTTCTAGTTGATCGGACCTATCAACAGTTCCCTCCCCCTCACCCACGGCACCCGACTGTCCTCCAACATCCAACTCATCGTTGGCTTCTCCATCTCCGCCCTCATCCACTTCGCAGGCGACCTCGCAGGCAACGTCCCCCTCACCCCAGGGCTCCTCAAGTACCCTTCAACGTTCTTCCTCGTCCAACCACTGGGTATCATGTTCGAAGATTTGGTCACTGAGCTCTTCGGTGGTGGCAAGAGCAAGACGAGCGAGAAGGGCCAGGATGCAAAGCCGTCACGGGGAAAGAGGATGTTGGGGTATACCTGGATGTTTGCGTGGTTCGTCTTGACGCTGCCGATCTTCATGGATGGGCAGATGGCTGCGGGTATAGGGAAGGATAGGGTGATACCCGTGGAATGGAGTGTCGTGCAAAGGTTTGTGGGGTATTAGAGTGTTTTGCTTTAGTACCGTTAGAGCACAGGAGGTAGATGAGGGAGTATGTATTGGCAACATCCAATATAATTCACACTCATAAGCGAACACATTCGCAGTATGCAAGCCGGAACAGAGCAAAACTCGAACAGCAGACAGGAAGATCCGCGACTACTACATGATCGATGCGCCGCCAGCACTGTAGTTAAGATATCTAGGCCCACTAAACGACCCTGAGTGTTGCCTTCCCTCCAATGACCCTCTCTTCGGTTTTACCATTCTCAAACTCAAACTGGACATACCCCCTGGCCTCTGCCCCGTCGTCCGAATCCACAATTCCGCAGCGAAAGCCTGAGTGCAGCTTTGACGAGCAATGTGCTACTTGTCGGCACGGCGACGATCCACATTCCTGCAGTGGCTAATAAGCTATAGAAGAACTGCAGCTTCGGTATGCAGTGTCGCAGGCGGCAGCGAGGCCTGAAATTTAAAGAAGACAAGTTGACGGGCGTCGGGAAACGAGCATGAAACAAGAAAAAGTCATTACCCCTTGAAGAATGAACCTTGCCCGGATTGAACGGACGACCTTATGGAATCCTCGTGTGATTAGTCACATGAACTGGAATCATACGCGCTACCGCTGCGCCAAAGGTTCGATGTCAGTAAGCCAAATAGACCAGACATAACCGCAAAGAAACGGAGAAACGAAGAGAGGAAGAAAAAGAGAAGGGCAAGTGTGGGGACCCATTGATCGCTTGGTGGCTGGGTCAACGTGTCTCCTGACTGAGTCACCAGCGCTTGACTGACTGGATCACACTCACTGACCTGCACTGGACGACGGTCGGAAGATTGACAAGATGGACGATGGCCTGAGTATCTTGGTATGGAGAACTATGGATTGAAGACGCATTCGGGGTGAGGAGATAGGTGAAAAGCCTGTGCTGAGTACGAAGATCAAATCCACGCCATAAATCATACGCGCTACCGCTGTGGCAAAGGTTCCAAACCAAAACACATTGCGTGCTCTACCGCTGCGCCAAGGGTAGCTGTAGGACCACAATAAAGGAATCCCGTGAAGAGTGCTTGAGTATTTGGTCGACACCTGGTACAGTAGGACTGTTCGTTCCCCACCCCAGAGTCGACAATTTCAGAGAACAAGCAGATTCTCGCCGCCAGAAGCTTGGGGTCCTCGCGAGATACTTGGACTGGCACCGTGACTGGGCGCGCGCAGAGTTAGTCGGACACCAAAAACAGCGCCAACACCTGGAGGATAACGAGAAAAAGAAGATGCATTGATGGTAGTACAGCAAATAGAAAAGGAAACATCAAACATTGCAGAAAAAGTCCACCAGAAGAAATTGGCATGGGAGGATCTTGAGATCGCCATCGCAGAGTCCTCTTTGTCCGACTGAACTCGTCTCCTGGCCCTTCAACCTGCAAGGACGACTTCCACCAGGTAAACTCCCTCAACCTCTTCCACCAGTTTCCCTTCCCTCGACTTCTGCCCTCCCTAAGAGACAGTCAACATTCTCCGCCCTCCTGCTCATCCGATGGATCCCCGATCCTCTTCCTTTACCTGCTTCTCCACGATCCGTCCATTTGGCAATTGTTCCAGTAGGACCTTGTTTAACTCAATATGCGCCGCCAAGACTCCCGGGTTCGGGAAAGTCTGCTCGAGATGCCTGATGAAGGCCTGCCTCCTCGGAATGAGAGTCGCAGTGGGCGATCGGGAGAGGACCTGGTCGTAAGGATTGGCGAATCTCTCGACTCGACGACGAGGTTCATGCACGCCCGTGTTCTTCGACCTTGATGTCCTGCTGGGTGCGGATGACGAGGCGGTTAAAGAGGAGGAACCACGACCACCACGACCACGACTGCGAGAGACGCCAGAGCCGCGACCCACAGAGGCGGAACCACGGCCGCGAGAGTTGAAAGCCGCAGAGCCACGTCCCCTCAACGCGATGGTCTCGGAGCTGCTAGAGGAAGCAGAGGTAGACCCGACAACAGCAGCGAGACGAGAGTCCACATCGGAACTGGTGGGCTTCGGAGTCCCGGGCTCGATGAAGTCGGCGTTGCGAGAGGGGGGAGCCGTCGATCTAGCAAAGAGTCGAGTCAGCAATGACTCATCGCCAGGACGCGACAAGGAATCGGCTCACGGAAAAACCACAGGTCAGTTATGTAGAACCAAAATCCGGCGGCGCACGGGAAACAAGGGGGTGCCTGGTGTATAGGGTTAGTGTGATGTTGCTTGGGTGTATCAACAAAGGAAGAGGCCTTACAGATGGTGAAGTGCCGAGAGCCGTTGACGTTGGTGTTGCAGACGCTGTGAAGGACAGACGTAAGCGACGTTGGAGCTCGAAGCGCATTGAATGAAGGAAGGAGTTTTACAGTGATGCGTATTGCGACTGAGCGATTTCGTCGACGGTGACGATCGCCGAGAAGCAACGGCGTTCTGCTGAGAGTCCGCAGAGAAGGGGGGAAGGAAAGGGAGCAAAGGGAGCAAAGGGAGCAAAGGGAGCAAAGGGAGCAAGGGAAGGAAGGGAAAGGAAATGATACCACATCCTGGGGATGGAAAGCTTCTATGCCGCCAGGTATCCTTGTCGACGATCGATGAGCGCCGCACCGACAATCCCCGCTTCTGGACAGCTGGCAAAGTTATGTCAAGAGGTGAGCCCGACGTCGGAGTGTCAACGGTGAGCATTGGATCGTGTCATACTGTCAACCACTTTTCACCGGGGATCTGAGCATAGAGACTGCATGTTGGAAGCGCAATGAGCAGCGTGCTACACGAAGACCAGATAGCCCGCCATCCGCTGGAATACAGAATTATTAGCAACTTGACTGGTTTCGGGGTAGCGATTAACAAACAGCCCCGCCTCCTTCTCTAAAGTCAACAGCTTGATCGGCTTCATCGACTGCTGGAACATCATTATGACCAATTAGTTGATGAGAAGATGAGAGAGAGAGATTGACTTACCGAGGCGACGTCTTGCAGGTGCTTACCAGCCGAGCCTGCGCTTTGAGGTGTCTGTGTTTGCTTAAAGTCGATGCAAGAAGAGTGAAGGCGATGGCCCTGAATGTTAAGGGTCAAGACAGAGGCCAGATGCCATATGAGAGGAGATGCATTTGGCGGCAATGAGCGGTAGGAGGAGACGACTTGTTGAAGCAGTGTGGGCGGTGAGCTTCGAACCGTCCTTATTGAGGAGATGATGGATTTAGTGAAGGTCTCAGTCTGGAAGATGTTGAGAATCCAGAGGCGACGTACCTTCTCAAGACAAGCTTCTATGTAAAACAGATCTTCTGCACTCACCAATGTCTAACCCTTGGTGCAACTGCCTGACACCACGCTGCCTTCTGTATAATGTGTATTGCAATTGCGGGAATCACAGCTCCATCCTCCACAAGAGAATGGAGCATCTGAGCCACAAGTGAGGTGTCTGGCTGTGTATATAAGTTAGCTCTTGGACTCGGACGATTTGCTCAAAACTCCTTTCCCCCCTCTTACTTCACCTAACTCGTACTCCGTCTTCGCATCACAAACACAAACCATGAAGGTCACCCAAACCACTGCTATCGCGGTCTACATCGCCACCGCAGGTGTCTATGCGCTGTAAGAAGCCTCTTCTTTCACTATCCTGCTCCTAGCTAACCATCCTTCTCCCTCATCGCAGCGGCCCACTCCAACGCCGACAAGACGTTACCACCCTCCTCGGCCCTTCCGGCTCCTTCTCCATTGACGCAACCGCCACCGACGAAGGCGAGCTCGCCACCACCCCCTCACCCACCGCCTCCTTCAGCGACACCGTCATCAGCGTCTCCCTCCCACCAACCGACTCTGGGTTCAGCGACACCCTCATCGCCGACCCGAGCGAGGAACCCACCAATCCCGGATCTGTGACGATTCCTAGTCCTTCCGTGCCTATTCCCTCGGACCTGCAAACGCCTAGCCCTAGGCCGTCGGCGCCTCCGGTGCCGCCGAACCCTGATGATGAGCCAGGTGCAGGGGAAGATGGGCAGGATGTTGATCAGGAGGGCTCGGCGGTGGGTGGTGGAGTGAGCCTGTTGGGCTTGGGGCTTGGGGCGGCGATTCAGTTGTTGTTGTAATGTGGAGCTTGGGATATTTGCCAATGCCGTTGGACTTGTAACATGGACTTCCAAAGAGATAATCTAGAGCATGGACTCGTATGATACTCGAATGTACACTTATTAGGCATTAACACGTTGATTTCTTGCTCGACTCGATGGTCTTCGAAATCAAGCCAGTCGGTAGTGGTGGTGCAGCGGCCGAGGAGAGAAGTTTGATCTGCCGACGGGTGCTGTACATCTGGCTTGCTTCTGGCGACCACTGCACCCTGAACTCACTCGCTCCTCTCGCCTCTATCTTTCTAAGGACAGTACGATCCTAACCCCAACTTGCATCACGACGCAGCCTTCACGACACAGCCAGTAAGATATATGTCTCCACCAAAGACTCGCGCCATGAAGCTTTGAAGCAGCAGATTGGCTTTTCGCATTCGTCCTTAGTGACCTCTGTTCACTGCAAGCACTCGAGACTCATGGAGGACGAACAGCTTGGAACCACCTCTAGTACAGGTGAGAATCCTCCGTGCTAATACACTGCTACACGCACTTCACTGAGCCCGCTCAACATTGTCCTTAGGTTAACGCGACTGCAGCACTGCATCGCTTTTGACGTTTCGTGGAGATGGATACATCGTAGAAAGCTCATGGCCCTGTACGCACCTTGGATGTTCGTTCCTTCCACCCCGTCTCATCGAATGTTATAGACAGCACCAGAGCTCCCAGGACGATAACAACGGAGACGACGGGACAAAGACCAACACGCTCGCAGCCAGTTCGACGACCAACCAACGTCAACCTTGTCGTTTCTCCCTCCCTTCTCCTGCCTTCTCACCCGCAAAGCTCGTCAGCGTGGCTCTACCCACCTCATCTTGAAGGAACCCTCATCGTCCGTTCTCCGCGTAATCCGAAGCCCTGTACTCAGCACTGTACAAGAGCAGCGCTTAAATCCGAAGCTCTTCTTCATAACCGGCCAGAAGTACTCAAACCAACTTAAGATACGAACACCCTGTGAAGGTACTCGAGGCGATGCGCGTCTCCGAAACCGAAGACTGAGCAGTCGTATATGTAGCTAACGGTAAGCATTGGCTTCGCTACTACTACTAGTACTTGACGGACATTGCATTGATCCTGCTCGATGTCGCAGGCTGATCCGACTCTGATTCATTATGTCGCTTCACCGCCGTCGTCGCTTGCCTTGACGGTGTTCACAAGACAGTATGTTCGCTTTGTCTCGCCGATTCTGCCTCGTCTCACCGAAAAACTTTATCCCAGCTCGAAGGTCAAGGTTCAGCACGAGACGACAATCAGCACTTCCTGGCTGATCATCTTTGAGTGTGCCTAGCTTGAACATCCGTAACTCCCTGCCCACTAACAACTGCTGGCTCCCAACAGATGCAGGTTACGAGCAGGCTGTTCCAAGCGTATGACACTAGGCAAACACACTAAGTCCAGATCGGCCGCAACACGAACCCTTCCCAGCTGGATTTACATGATTGGGGAACGACGTCAGAGCTCATCTTCAAGCTCGGCCCCTCGCTCGTCTGAAGCCCGCTGCCCAACGGAGACGGCACT